ATGAATAATCGCAGGGAACTAGGAACAGAAGGAACGTAGAGCACCCTCTAGGTGTAATGAGCGTGACAGTACCCCCCCCTTCACGGGCGGCTCCTGACACCCAAAAAAGAGCTGCACAGCACTGGGGGGAGGAAAAACCTCATTTAACTGAAAGGAAACCTCCGGAAGTTCACGGCTGAGAGCTACCCTCTACTCCGGGGTATAAACCTTTATTGAGTAGAGGAAAGGGGGGTCGAAACTGAGCTCTGGAGGAGCAAAACAAAATACCAGACCTAACAAACAAACAAATCACAAACAAAATTAAACCCTGACAGAACAGGGGAACAATAAACACATAAGGGCATGGGAGCCCAGAGCCAGGGAGACCAGAGGGCATGGGAGCCCGGAACATGGAAGCAGCAAGGGGTGTGGGAGCCCGGGACAGTGACAGCAGCAGAGGGCGTGGGAGCCCGGGACAGCAAGAGTAGGAGAGGGTGTGGGAACCCGGGACAAAGGTAAAAAATCACAACGAGTATAAACCCTGATGGAACAGGGAAAACAAACAACACATAAAAGAAATAACCCACAACAGATAGAGAAGAGCAGGGAGCACGGAAGCCTAGAACCAGGCATAAAGAAAATTTTTTTTTTTCTTTATGCCTGGAGCCAGGAAACAAAAAAGGAAAAAAAAAACGCTCGCGGGGTCAAAGGTAGGCTCAGCATTCTGTCACGTAAGTCCGACAGCACGAACTGTGGAATGTCAGGAAAGCGATAAAGACCCTGTGCGAGATAGCGGCGAGATGGGGCTTAGCCCAGGCTCAGCTGTTCAGGAGAAGCCGTATAGAAACCTATGCCCTCAGGCCAAAGACAGGAGTGACCTGGTGCTAGGCGGGTCTCAGGGCAACTGAACAAACAATGCTGAGCGAGTAGCAGAACAGAAGCAGGAAATAAATAGGCTACACAACAAGACGCACCAGAAAGACATGAATAATCACAGGGAACTAGGAACAGAAGGAACGTAGAGCGCCCTCTAGGTGTAATGAGCGTGACAGTAACTCCCCATTTATAACACTATATATGTTTTCAAATTTACTTTTTATTCAAAATGTATGATCAAACTGAACACTGCTTCTAAATGTGACAAAGACTGAATGTCAGCAAAATCTGCAGCTATAAAAGGCGCTATCCAAATTGAAATTTACTGATTTTAGAAGTACTCAATAGTCAATACTTGGTGGAAGCACCTTTGGAAGAAATTACTGCTGTCAATATTCCAAGTGTTACATCTCCACCAGCTTTGCACAGTGAGTTTGTGTGATTTCTATTTTCCCTCGCAAAATTTCTCCAGTTCAGACTAGTTCATTGGGAATATTAATGGACTGCATTCATTAAATCTCAGCATATGTTTTCTATTAGATTCAAGTCTAGATGTTGCCACTCAAGGACATGTTGTTTAAGAACATTTACAAAAAAATATTTTTTTAACCCAGTTTTAGTTTTTCAGATACTCTATGGGTTTTCCTCTAGAATTTAAATGTACTTTGAAACAATTTTTCCCTTTTTAGGGATGGTGCTGTCCGTGTGGGGCTTATATTGATAGTCACACTTGCATGTAGACCATAAACTTACTGTAATTGCCCCATACAGTATAACAGTCAGAAACGTTGTGAATTTCATATTCACCAAATTTATATCAAGTCATGCCACAATTTAAGAAAATTGCAGAGGTTGTCAGAAAAATAGTTATTGATGCTCATCTGCCCAAAAACAGTTACAAAACCATTTCTAAGTATTCGAGTCTATCAGACAAACAGTCTACTGCTCAAATGAAAAAGGTCAAAACCACAGGTACTCTATATAGAAACATCTAAGGAACTGCAGTTTGCTCTCACCTCAGCTAATGTGACTGTTCATGAATCTCCTATTAGAAAATGACTGAACAAGAATGGTTTCCAAAAAGAACATTGCAGCCTGTCTGAAATTCACCAAAGAATGATCCAAAATGATACACAATATTCTCTGGACAAATAAAAGTAAGAACTCTTTAGCTTCAGTGAGAAACATTATGTTTGGTGAAAACCAAACACTGCTTTTGAACAGAGGAAACTCATTTCAACAGTTAAGAATGGTGGTGGGAGTGTTTTGCTGCCTTGGTGCTTGGATGGCTTGCAATCATTGACATAACCATGAATTCTGCATTGTATCAGAAGAGTCTAGAGGAGAATCTCAGGCCATCCATCTGTAACGTGAAGCTGAACCTAAAGTGGGCCTTATTTCATGATTCTAAACATACACAGATCCTAAACCTAAGAAGATCTGCAGAAGAATGACTGCAGAAAAGGTCATTCTTTGTTTCCCAATGGCCCAGTCAAAGTCCAGACCTAAACCCCATTGAAATGTTGCAGCAGGAGCTTCTGTTTATGCAAGGCATTCCTCAAATGTCGCAGAGATTAAAGAATTCTGTAACCAGGTTTGGGCCAAAATTCCTCAAAAACCATGTGAGAGATTGCTCAACAGTTAGTCGAAGTCATTGCTGCTCAACAGGGTGCCACCAGTTAATGGATCTAATGCATACTTTGTCTCATATGGATATTGGATGTTTCATTATTTGAAGACTGATTAATGTTGAGAGAGTATAATCTTTTAAAGTATTATTAGGACTTAATTTAAGATCTAATAAGATTTAAGGTTTCAAATATGTGAAAGTTGTGAAAATCCTAAGGCACTGTTCTTGGCACTGTATGTAAGGAACTGTACATGCTAAATAGAACTGATCCCAGTGTGAACCCCTGGGTGACATCTCCAAAACGCACAAAGTAAAAAGAGAATTATGATTGACAGTATCAAAGGCTGCCCTAAGGTCAAGCAATATTAAGTTAGAAGGAATCCCCATCAGAATGTATATCTTTTGTTTCATACAGTATGTTTCTAAAGCTAAACTGTCAACAGATTCATCGGTAATCACAGAAACCCATTCTGTGCAATCCTGATATATTTAGAGATTAAATAGACACACACCAATGCAGACATATTTGGCTATCTTTATTTCAGAGATAAACACCAAACACTATGTAACATCCTGAGGAAAATAGTTTTATTAAAAGTCATGTACAAAAGGAATATCAGACATTAGGTGGCTACAAAACAACACTATGTACATTATATACAACATAGAAGGACAGCTCTCCTTACAAAATTAGAAGCAATAGTTATAGAATGGTATGCACCACAACATGGTTACTGTGTCATGAGTACCATGGTACAAATAACATGCATTACAGTGCACTGACATTACTACAATATGTTAATTGTCAATGGAGGGTATAAGGTCATTCTCTTTTTAAGTTTTTGTGACAGTTTTTGTGAGAAATCACCACAGTAAAAATGAACTTTACATTTTTGATTGTGAGCACTAGTACATAAGTCTTTCAGTTTATCCCCTCACCTTCCTGTATCACTCTTGCTATTCACATATGTTGGATGATTCAATATGATAGCTCATTAGAAGATTACAATTTGTCAAAAAACAAGAAAAAATAAAGATATTGAGATATTTACTGTACAAATATACAAAAATGTGATGCAGTTACATTTGTATTTCAATGGCACTCTTGTTGTGTGTTTCAAAGATGATTTTTTCAGAATAACTGGATTCATGTTTAAGCAAAAACATTGGGTAAATCAGCACACCAAAGTGTTACTCTACCCCAGCTCCATTCCTCAACAAGTAAAAAAAAGAAATAATTCATACAAATTACTGTCTGTAAAGCAAGTTTTTTTCATTTGAGATTCATAACCTACTCCATCCATCCTACCTATAAAAAGTACACAAACTCTGCAATGAAGCTGAGCATTTTTATTTACCAGCATAGTGACTTTAAGGTGTTTTTTGCTATCAGCGCCTAATTTTTTCTCTCGTAAATTGATTCACTAATCCATGTTAGAACATAGAGATTCCTCTGCTTGTGCAAATGAAATCAGATTATGGAACCGTGTTGAATAGTTTGCTTGGAGTCTCATCTCCTAGCTAGTATGAGCTCATGAGTGAAGTGCTCTCAAAGTATGTGATCAGCTGTGGTGTTGTAGTCAGTCTGTTAGATTAGTACCTAAGACCTAAGAAAGTTACAAATGATAGGGAACGACAGCTCTGAACTATAGAGGATTTTAAAAATAATATATTAATACAGGTAAGAGAAAAATATATAATCCCCAGTTCTTTTTTATGGCTTAATCAACTTCAAGTTAAAATGTGTTTACTTGATGAGTAAAATTACAACACAATTCTTTCTATATGCAATGGCAATGTGCTGTTCCCATTTAAAAGTTATGTACTGTATAATAAATATATTTTTTCCTGGGGAGCTAATCTGTGGTGCGTTTGTCTGTTTTTCCCATTTTTACATGGGTTTCCTCTAGGTTCTCCAATTTCTGCCCAAAGACATGCTGGTAAGTTAATTGGCTTCCATAAAAATTGGCCCTGGTTTGACTGTGTGCGCCCTGCGATGGAATGGTGTCCCATTCAGGGTGTATCCTGCCTTGCACTCTGTGCATGCCAAATTATGCTCCAGCTCAGTCCTATGACCCTGTACTGGATAAGAGGATTAGAAAATGCATTCTAAAAAGATTAGAAACACCATGAAGAAAAAAATATCCTCCTAAATCTTCCGAGCTTTTGGCTCTTTTAAACGTTTTCTGATGTCTCAGCAACTTAGTTAAAAAAGAGGAGCTTTTTGTTTGTTCACCCTCTTCTCCCCGTATCCCATAAAAATATTCAAAATAGTAACAATAACTTAGGGATGGTGGCACCATCAAAAGGGATTTTCCTTTTGCATAATATCTCTGTATGTCAGGACAAATTCTGGCCGCCGGTAGAGCTCACTCAGCATTTCAAATTTTGAACCCCACTCCTGTAGGCAATCATAAGTGAAGTCCTCCTCACCTTCAGACACCAAAGTGCTGAGACTGCCCACTGGGGAATCCAGTCCCTCTATGCGGTAAATTTGAAAAGAGTCCATTGGGAAAGACTGATCATCATTGTCTGCTTCCCAAATAATGCGGGAAACATAGCTTTTGAAGTCTGTGGGGCCGCTAGCAACACCAGTAGCATTCTGATGGTAGCTTGCCATCGTGCCTGGGTGAACCTCTTCCTGTGATCCCTGGGAAGACTTTAGGAGGGGTGCTGTGGTGCCGGAGGAGGATTGCGACAAACTGGAGCACAGTGGCCTCTTCAACTCTGTGATGTCATATGCATTCTAGAAAAGGAAAGTAAAAAGCAGGTATATTTCCAAGGTTCAGAACAGTTTTTCTCATATCCTCAACCAGGTATTTATTATTTTATTTGTCTGACACTTATCTAAAGCGTATTGCATTTGTACCCATTTACATATAATGTCTATAGAAAGTCTCCACACTCTTTCCAAAGTAACACATTTTATGGCCTGACAGCCTGAAATCAAGACATTAAATTTATTTACATATTGTAACAACCTCTAAATAAAAAAAAACAATTGCTCAAACATTCTAAAAAAGTAATTATAAATGAAAACTTAAAAAAATTGTTTGATAAGTGAACACACCCCTGAGCTAGAACTTGGTGGAAGAACCTTTTGCTTGAATTACAGCCATGATTCTATTTGGATAGGTCTCCATCAATGTAGCACACCTAGACTTGTCAATGTTTTCCCATTCCTCCTAACAAACCTGTTCAGATTCAGTCAGACTGTGAGGGGGCCATTGATGGACTGCAACCTTCAAATCATTCCACAGATTTTCCATTGGATTTCCAAGACTCTGTCTATGCCACTTGAGGACATTTACCATTTTGTTTTTTTAGAAACCACACTGTTGCTTTGGCTGTATGCTCAGGTTCCTTGTCATGATGAAAGGTAAATCCATCTGGATTTTTCTACTTTCATTTTATTCAGTTTCCATTCAATCTTGACCAGTGACTTTTTGCTGAAGAGACCCAACCTGATAACAGAATACTACCAGAATACTGCTTCCATCATGCTTTGCAGTAGTAATGGTGTTCAGTGGGTAATGTGGTGTATTGGGGTTTTGCCCAACTTACATTTAGGCCAAAAAGTTCTATCCTGGTTTCATCAGTCTGCAAAACTTTTTCCCACATGGCTTCAGAATTTCAACAGTATTATTTTGGGTACCTCAAACAAGTCTCAACGTGGGTCTTGGTCTTGGTCTTGACTGTTTTCCAAAGGCTATTTAAGGCCTTTGAAACATTTTCATACCCATCTTCTGCTATGTGCCTTTCCACAACTTAATCTCAGAGGTGTTTTGATTGCTCTTTCTTGTCCATAGTTTACTAAAAAGTTGCTTTACTTGTGTGATTAAGAAAGGCAATTGGTTACACCAGACCTAATTTACAATTGCTGTAACTAAGAGTTCTATAAAATTATTCAACCTATTTTTCAAGGTGCTCTTTTGTAAATAGCCAATTCATAGAGAGGGATTATTAGGAGGCCATGATTGGTAAGGGCCAATGGGAAATTTGGCCAGGACACCGGGGTTACACCCCTACTGTTTTCGAGAAACTCACTTGGATTTTTAATGACCACAGTCAGGAGTCAGGACCTCGGTTTTACATCTCATCTGAAGGATTCTGAGGGGGGGTAGATTAACAATGTTTCTTTTTTATTTTGTCAGTTTTTTTTAACTCATAACTCCATTGAACATGGGAGGGATATGAGATATGATGGCTGACGTGAAAAACAAAAACTTGCTCAAAGCCTTTTAAGTCTTTAAATGCACCTGCACTTGTACTTAGTACCACAGCCATAAAAATACATCTAAAGTAAACAGTTTCTCCTCTAGCAGTGGTGGTCAGCATTCTTCTGTATTGTGACACATTTGGAATTTTTATCAAAGTCGCTCCATATTCCTCAAATTCATATTGGAACTTTGTATTGGCCATTCAAGCACTTTTATTATACCACTTTTATTTCAATTTACAAAATTTAAACAATCTAAACTTTTGCACAGAACTGTAACTGGATGCAGGCGATAAAATACAATAATCACATATAGCCAGCAGCCATATCACCCTGCAACTCACAACTGGCAACCCACTGAAGCTAAGCAGGTGTGAGCCTGGTCTGTACCTGGATAGGAGACCTCCTGGGAAAATCTAACGTTGCTGCTGGAAGTGGTGTTAGTGGGGCCAGCAGGGGGTGCTCACCCTGCGGTCTGTGCGGGTCCTAATGCCCCTGTATAGTGACGGGGACACTATACTGTAAACAGGCGCTGTCCTTCGGATGAGACGTAAAACTGAGGTCCTGACTCTCTGTGGTCATTAAAAATCCCAGTGTGTTTTTCGAAAAGAGTAGGGGTATAACCCCGGCGTCCTGGCCAAATGTCCCGTTGGCCCTTACCAATCATGGCCTCCTAATAATCCCCATCCATGAATTGGCTTCATTACTCTGCTCTCCTCCCCACTGATAGCTGATGTGCGGTGAGTGTTCTGGTGCACTATGGCTGTCATCGCATCATCCAGGTGGATGCTGCACATTGGTGGTGGTGGTGGTGGTGGAGGGGAGTCCCCATTACCTGTAAAGCGATTTGAATGGAGTGTCCAGAAAAGCGCTATATAAGTGTAAGCAATTTTATAGCTGCTGAATTTAGTCATACACTGTCAAAACACTGGCTTCCTCATCTGGGCCATTACCTGGTCCTGCTCACCTCCACCCTCTTCATTGTAGTTGAGGATGTTTTCACGAATGTCCTCCCAGCTCTCGTGCTCAGCTGGAATGTGATAAACACCTCTTTTCTGGAATTTGCTGGGGCTGCCCTTCTGGTTCCACACAGTCACAGCCACAAGAACAGCTGGATGACAAAAAAGGAGAAACAAAGTGCAATGTCAACTGTAAAGTCTCAAAACAGCAAGTTGCATAACATCACTTTGTTGTCCAATATGAGATGTTTACGTCGTTTTATTGTTTCATGTGAACATCAACATTAATATATATCCATCTTACTTTTTATAAGTACTTTTAAAAGTGAATCTCTGCAGTTACTATAAAATAAATTCCCTTAGGGTCCTAAATAGGATTATACCACTGAGGAGAACATCATAATTTGCTTTTGCCATTTTCAGATCTGAAATGGAAATGGCTGAACTTAAAGACATGGCTCACTTAAAGTATGGCTCCTCCTTCCAAACTCTAAGAAGAATATCAGAAACTGTTTATTTGTTAATTTTTTTATCTAGTACTGTCTTCAAATTTCACCCTGTTACAGAGACCCTTCTAATTGAAGACTGAAGACTTTCACCACCTGCTACTGCCTTACTCTGGATTTTCTTCCCGTCTTGTTGCACCGTCTTGGATTCATCGAACATGTCTCTGAGGTACACCGCACTGCAACTGCTTCAACTAAAATAACATTTCTTCCTGGTTAAAGACACATTTGATGATTGCCGTATTATTGGGATTTTACGACCGAGGTGCTACTTCCATCACAGCATGGGATGCCGTTTCTTTCATTCGTCTGCCAGCAGAGTCTCTATCCCTGCCTTTCGGCGCAAGACTGTAAGTCCATCCGGTACTGGCGCCGACCTCAAAAATCTTCTCTCACTACCGCGCCTGGAACGCACTTCGCTTCTCCCTGCATCCCCGAGACTGGCCAGATCAGCGCTACTCAATACCTGTTCCATAAACAGCCAGGCTCTTCTTTTATGTGACTTTATCATAGAAAATAAAATTTAATTATTGTGCTTAACCGAAACCTGGCACAGACAAAACGATGGACTGCTGTATAATCAACTAATCCTCCTGGCTATGCCTTGTTTGACCTTCTGTGTCCCACAGGCAGAGGAGAGGCCATCATTGTGATTTACAACCTTTTTTAAAATTTAAATCCTATTACATTACCTCCTCCCTCTTCTTTTGAGTGACTTGTTTTAAATGTCTCTATCATTGCCATAGTTTATAGACCACCCAAGCCCTGCGAAGCCTTTTTAGGTGAGTTTGCTGATTGACTCTCATTTTTATGCCTTAAGTTTAAAAGGATCCTTATTTTTGGGGACATTTATATATACATTGATTCAAGGTCTTCCAGTATGGCTAAAGATTTCCTCTCTCTATTGGGAATTCTTTGATCTAACTCACTTTGTTTGTAGCCCTACACATAACAAAGGACACACCCTAGATTTAATCATTGCAAATGACTCTTTTGTCTCCCACTGCTCTTTCCTTGAACTAGGCCTCTATGACCACTTAGCTATTCTCTTCAATCTGGAATTACCTGTTTCTAACACTTTCCCCTCACGCTCTGTAAATTTCCACAACAGGCGATCAATTGATCTGCCAAGGTTTGCAAATTCTGTTCTATCCTCCTTATCTTGTTTCTCTTCCTCTGACCTCCTAGAGCAGGGGTGCCCAACCTTTTTTAATGTAAGATCTACTTTTTCATTTGCCAGTCCAACGTGATATACCACTGTGAATTTGAAGCTCTAATATAGGAATAAAAAGACTGTGGGCACATTAGTACAATAACGATACCCATCACTAGAATTCCAGTAAATAAAAGCAAGTGACTCATGCTACAGTGAATAAGTAATGTTCCCTATTTTAAAAAAAGAATATCCTACCTTAATGTGAGCACTGGCACCGAGAAGCGTACTTGAGAGCACTTGTAATTTTTTTTAACGTATTGACACTGCTGATCATGTCGATGACATTTTACCTCCTCCCTCCTTATCCAACTTCTCTGGTTCCCTATACTCCAGCTTCTCTCTTCTTGACTCAGCATCCCTCCCACCACTTTATTCCAGTCCTGTTTCTCTTCTCTCTGTCCCATTGTCCTCAATATTTTACATAAATCCATGAGCACTGGCATTGTACCACGGTCCTCAAAACTACTGCCATTACCCCCGTGCCAAAAAAGCCTAATATGGCTCTCGACAATCTTAACAATTTTCAACTTACCCTTTCTTTTTAAAATACTAGAACGTGCTGTCACACTTCACTTACATAACCACCTCATGACAAACAACCTTTTTGAACCCCTCCAATCTGGCTTCCGTCAACTTCACAGCACAGAAACTGCCCTGGTGAAAGTCACCATCGATCTTCTAATAGCTTCTGATTCTGGTTCTCTTTCTATACTCATCCATCTTGATCTCAGTGCTGCTTTTGACACTGTTGACCATAACATCTAACTTTCTCGTCTTGAGACTGTGTTTGGAGTTTCTGACACTGCCCTCAAATGGTTCAAATCTTACCTCACTGATCGCTGTCACTTTGTCTCTCTTAATGGGTACAGGTCTGAAATTGGTCTTGTTAAGTCTGGTGTCCCTCAGGGCTCAATACAGGGCCCCTTGCTCTTCAGCAGTTACATGTTCCCTCTTGGTCAGCTTTTAAGATCACATGGCCTCAGGTTTCATTTTTACGCTGACGATACTCAAATATACATCCATACCAAACCTGACACTGATGTGGCTGTCTCTATTCTATCTCATTGCATCTCTGACATAAAAATTTGGATGACTCAAAACTTTCTTCATCTCAACTGGGACAAGACTGAAGTCATGCTTATTGGTACCCCCCATCAACTTCATAAAGCCAGTCCTGTAACCCTTTCTGTGGATGGCTCTGTACTTGAGCTTCAATCAAAATTGATATATATATTCAATTCTGGCTTAACATTCAACCCACATGTGCAGCATACTGTCAAAACATCTTTTTTTCACCTTAGAAATATCGCAAGACTACGCCCTATGCTATCACTAACTGGCTAAAAAGCTGATCAACACATTTGTGTTCTCCTGAATTGACTACTATAATGCTCTACTTTTAGAGTTTAGCATCCTTTCCCCTAAGGGGCGCTCCAAATTCCTGAGTCCTAGTTTGATTGCTGTATTATTTCCAGATGTTAAGAATCAGTGTTGATATATAAATCTAGAGCTTCTGATGCTCAGGCCTTAGCGTTAGGACACGGATGTCCAGAGGCCCACCTATAACCAGACCGTGGAGTCATCTGAGGGCATAGGCCTTGCCAGAGGCATCACACCCTCCAAGCCCGGGGATGTGGAGGACCCGGCCTCGTGTGTTCTTGGACTGTTTCCGATTTCCCTGTGTCTGTCTGACGGGATGGATCGCCCAGTTTAGGATTATTGGACTGCGCCCTGACTTACCCCCATGGATTACCTTGTACCTGGATACCTCGTTTTCCCCTGTTCACCAGAGCACCAGTTGTCACGTGTTTTCCCTGATGTCCGCCTCCTTTTTGTCTTGGGTTACACTGCATAGTGTCTAATCACCAACCCTTCTTCAAAGGCTGTGGACCATTCATGACACTGGAGTATCTAAATCTATATTGAACAAACTGCAGTACGTCCAAAATTCGGCAGCCAGAATCCTGACCAGGTGTAGTGCAAATAACTCCTATCCTGGAGTCATTGCACTGGCTTCCTGTTAGGTTTCTTGTTGGCTTTAACATCTTCATGGTCACCTATAAGACTCTGCATGGCTTGGCACTTCAGTACCTGTCTGAGCTACTATCGTCCTACTCCAGCTCTTCTAATTCTGGTCTCCTGTCTGTCCCCCAAGCCGGTCTACACTCTATGGGTGACAGGGCCTTCTCCTGTTATGCCCTCAAGCTCTGGAACTCTCTCCCCAAGGATATCAGAGAGTCACTTTCTCTAAACTCCTTCAAATCCAAACTCAAAACCTTCTTCTTTAGAAGAGCCTTTACTTAACTGGCTCTGTTCTTTACCCCTCTGGTCCTACTATACTTAGTACCACCATCCATGGTCTCATCTGTGTATTGTAACTGCATTTTATCTTGTGTATTCTTTTTATTTATTGTTGCTGTCATTCAGTAAAGTGCTATGAGATGCTACCTTTAAAGGCGCTATATAAAATAAGTTATTATTATTATTACTACATCACTTCCATAATCACTCTGTGCCTGAACACTAAAGAAAGGGGCGGTTATTCTGGAATTTGGAAGAGTGGGGTGTAATGACACTTCACACTGCGCATGCTCCCAGCGACTTTAGGAAATAGTTTATTTTCACTATTGTTGTTCTAAAACAAGTGTGCTTAGAGAGGAAACTATCTTCCTAGCCTCCTGTTTTAGGGATAAGTGCACAGACAATGAAAATTCCATGATTTACAGTCACAACGCATGTCACCAATGACATAATTTCATGCTTGTGCTACAAAGAGTGTATGTAGGTGGCCTAGCTGTTTCAATTTAGATCCAGTGACCCCCCATGCTAACCAGGTCCAGTGCCCACAGGTGTTTGCTGATCTCCCCTCTTGGAATACATAAATAATAATCACACCTTCCCCAAGAATGCAGAAAACTATCAAAAGACATCTTAGCCCCTCTTATTGAAGGATTTTGGAGTTTTTTGAGGCTTTTACTGAAATACGCTTTTCTTCTTTTTTTTAATACAGTCTTAATTAATATTTCATATTTAAATGAGTGATTGAAAACAAACTTGAAAATTCATGTTTTTAAAATGAGACAAACATATGTAATTTGAATGTTTACCAATACTGCAAAAGTACAAAATGTGCTATATAAATGTGCTGTCATGATATACATTTTACGTAGTATGTATTCTAAGCATTTTAAACATGGCCAACAGTGCACCAATGTTAATGTTACTAAGGAATTGTTGTCATAGTTACCAAAGAAAACCAGCAGGCACATGCTGATGGCCAGGATGGAACTGGGACTGAGGACAGCCATTCTTCCTGCTTTCACCAGACTGACTTCACACCACTGGCCTTTATATCCCTCCATGCAGACGCATGTGAAGCTCCTGGGAGACTGGGCAACACAGGTGCCCCCATTCCTGCAGACAGATGGTCCACATGGGGAGGGGACACAGTGCAGAAGCCCAGAAATACCATCCTCCACTGTCATCTTGCCAGCTGGACACCTAGTTTAACACAGGAAGGACAGAGATTACATTACAGTACTGGTAGCGTGTGTCTGTTCATTTTCCATATTTTATTAAAGTTATAGTATCACTGTGAAACTGGTTTCTGATCTTGAAACTTCCCTCTCTAGTGCTCACTGAAAATGAGGAGAGAATTACAAATCTCTCCTGTAGTAAGTGAGCGTTAGCAGCAGCAAAAAGGGCCCTTGAAGTTTGGAAGCTTAAATGGATGATTGGGGAAATTATGGAAGAATCGATAATATTGTGTTATTTTGGCCTTCACAACAGTGCAGAGGGGAATCAAATATTACATGCACTTTTACAAGAGAGACCACCTATATGGCTGAGCCTTCTTCTGAGTTGCTCTTTTGATATACAGCAGGCCCATCAGGCTCTGCGTGCTCAATCAGGACCCTGAGACCAGTCATTATTCGCTTCTTGCAATTCTGGGATAAGGAGTTTGTAGTTAAAACTTCAAAGGGTTTTAGAGGGTAAATTGAAGCTTTGTTGATAGCAAGATCTGTCCGTGGAGATCCCCTGAAAATGTAAGCTTTTTGACAAAGTTAGAAAACTTCTTATTGACAGTGGGATTTTTAGAGGTTTTATTTACCTTTCTAAAATTCTGACAGCATCGTTTGCATTATTTTAGCTCCTCGCAAGAAGTAGAGACATTTCTTGTAGAACTTGGTCATAACTAACCAGTTTATGGGATTTGTTTAATGAGTGACTCCTCAGTGACTATTTGTAATGAAGCTAAGGCAGTTAAATGGCTTTTCTAGCTTTTATTCTTTTTGCCTGGTTGAAAATCGTTATATACTGTATATTGATGACATGTTATTTATAGACTTATAGACATACTATTTTTAATTTAATAAAGAAATATGTTAATTCTAACAACATTGAAAATGAATTGATAAAGGGGTATTTGAATATTTTTTTGGTGCAAAATCTGTTTTTTAAGTGAATGGCCCTGAAAGTCTGCATTAACTAAGTGATCTTGTTTAAAATGTGGAAAAAAATGGTTTTGTTTATTTAAAACATTTTGATTTCTTCTTTGCATATATACAGTACACCTGCTATGGAGTGACTGATTGCGTAAGGAGATCTGCTTTTCTTTAGCTTTGATTTATTGTTGATTATGGACTCCTTTTTACTATGTTACTCAATTATTCCAGTTACCTAACATATTCCAACCTTTACTATTCTTTTCTTCTTTAATTCCCAAAATGATTTCCCACAGCGATGAGTAAATGTCAAATAATATAATGGAAAGTGAAGGGTTTGAACAATCATATTAAGCGTAAACGTTTTTTTTGTCTCAAAAAAGACAATGTTGCTGTTGCTTTTCTTCAGAAGGCTAATCTCTTAGACCTTAACAAGGCTGAGTCAAATAAATATACTTTTCGTCATATTCATCTAAAAGCCGGAACATGGCAAAATTGATGAATAATGTTTTACTTTTATTTTAATATAATGGATAACTGACCCACGGAGAAGATTTATTTCAATTTTGGGAACTCTGTGAGGGCTGTCAACTACTCTTCTGAATAATGTTGCTATTGCTGACTCTTCAGTATTTACTATATGACAGATGTATTATTATTTAACTACCACTGTCAAACTTCTAGTTGGCAAATTTAATTGTGCATTGAATCCTAGTTTTAGACAGGTCTTCACCATCTCCTATTTCTGGAGCAGCTAAAACACTGAATAATTCAGAATTTGATATCTGAAGAGAGCTTAGTCTGTTAATAAGAGATTATAGCTTTTACTGTAATGCACATAATTCTTATTCACATATTGATTAGTTTTTTACCCAAAACTTATTTGAGTAAGGTTTCATACAGTACTACTGGATCAATGGCTTTATCTGATCATGCACTCATTAGTTTAACAATAGATTTGAGTGTCCATTATTTTGTATGTAAAAGGTGGTGATGTAACAATTCTCTTTTGCCCAACAAACAAAACATACAAGATAATAATAATCTGTTACTCCTGATATTTTATGGGCTGTTGCAAAGGCTACCCTGAAAGGCAATATAATAACTTATGTGCCATATAAAAAAAGACATAAAAAAGAAAGTGTTTTCTAAAAAATAACTACTTTGGTATAAGGAACTTCATAAAAGCTCTCCTTCAGTGAAAATTTGAAAACGTTTCATATATACAAGAGCAAAATTCAACTTAATTTATACTGAATCTGTGAAATAGAGCTTTTTTATTTGAAACAGAGGCATTATGAATTTAATAATAAACTGAGCAAACTCTTGGCATATTACCTGAAAAAAGAACGAGCAATGCTTACGATTACAGCTATCTGGCTGTCTCTGTTCTCTCTAATTCCATTTCAGACAAAAATATGGATGACTCAAAATTCCTTCATCTAAACTGTGACAAGACAGAAGTCATGCTTTTTGTCATCCCCCATCAACTTTGTAAAGCCAATGGATCCAAACCCGTGGATGGTACTGTACTTGAACTTCAGTCGAAATGGAAAAACTTGGGGGTGTTATTTGATTCAGGCTTGACATTCGACCCACATGTGCAGCATTAATCTTTCACCTCAGAAATATCACCAGATTATGTTATCGCTAACTGCTGCTGAAAAGCTGATCAACACATTTAAGAAATAAACTTAAATTGGAAATATCTGATTTTCAAATAAAAATGAAGTGCTCAATTTCAATTAAGAAAAAATATTTCAGAATTGTATTTATTTTGGTTTTTAATTCACCATGTTCATTTTTACCCTTTAGATTGCATTCAGAAACAGAGCTAAATAAAACTTCAAGTGAGGATCAACAATCAGAGATTTGTAGAAATGTTTCTTTTCCTTTTACAAACAATAAGATTAAAGAAGAAAATCAAATTGTCATATAAGTTTTATTTAACTCTAACAAACATTGTTTGGCTCCAACAAAAGTCATTGCAATGACACTTCCTCAGTGTAGGAAGTGCCAGTCAGAATTAGGAACATTTATGCATTAATTTTGGCAATGTAAAAGTATTGAGCTTTTGGCCATCTATACATGGATCTACAAATGAACATAGATTTTTTTGTCATCTATACATCTCCTTACTTCACACATATGTTGCCTCTTAGCCCAGATATTGTTAATGGCTATCTCTTATTTAGCAAAAAATGCATCTTGTCAGTCTGGCTTGGTTGTGTGTAGAGAGAAGGTGACTATCATTTTGCAGAGTGGGATTTTTGGGGAGCCCACATAATATACAGTATATTTCATTTTCAATTAAGTTTGTAAATATCAATTTGTTTTGTTAAATAAGGGGAGGGAGATTAATTGATGTATTAATTTGTTAACATACTGATTTATTAGAAAACAAAAAAGTGTTATGCTCTTTCTTATTGGTTGGATACCCTAATACTGTATAAAGTGTGGTCATGCCTAAAGGATGGTGATCATGGTGTTTTACCCAATTAACAGTGCAAGAATACCTTAATTTCCAAAAACACTTTGTCAATAATTCTTTACAGTTGTGATTTCTAGCTGGGCCTGTGTAAGGCTGGAGAACAGCTCAATCACAACACACAGCAAAACAGAAGTATCAAGGTCAGATTATTAAAAGGGTATGAAAATGTTGAGAATGCAGAAAGTTAAAAGGCAGATACTACTATAATATACCAGATGCCCTAAGAGATTTAATGTATATTATTTTTGCTCTAGATTTATAAATACAAATATTTTATTTATACATTTATATTTTTGCTAGCTCTATACCTGTCAAATATAAATATATATTACTGCTAGCTCTATACCTTACATCAGAAAGTGGCGGTACTGTATGTTCAAGAGTACCCAAATGCAAACAAAAATATTTGCAGATGGTTTACAAAACATGTAGCTGCACAGACACCAAATGTGGACTAAGAAGAAGTTGTAAGTAATTGAAATGGAGAGCTCACATGATGACTTGCTAAGCTGGAGTACCTGGAAAAATAAATCTGTTTTAGGGGGTCAGGAGGGAAAGGAGGAGGAAACACAGTACCCAACCCACCTGCACTCGTGTTTCCTCCACAGGTCCACGCAGTATAGCGGGCTGCGGCAGGGCTTGCTGCTGCAGGCGTCAGAGTGACAGCCTGGCAGGACTCCACGGCGCTCCAGGACAGTGTGGAACTCTGTGCTCTTCCCATCCAGGGGCAAGGAATGCCCGTTCAGCCTCACATCTTGCATGCAGCCTAAGGTCACAAAAGAGTCATCATCACCCCTTATGTTTTCACAGTCTTTTGTTGATGTTTTATTCATGATATATCATGAAAAAATACTAAATACTATACTAGAATCTATTGTTACTCTACCTTGAAAGTCACTATGCTGGTAGTCAGAGAGGTTGTTTCCCAGCAACACACTAGATGGGTGAACAATGATCTCTCTCTTGTGACCAAGCATAGCAGTGATCTCACGTGCTCCACCTCCCTGGTCCAGGCGCAGTGTGAACACATTGTCATGGCGATCAAGGCTGAGTAAGACCCACTGGCCGTTGTCGATGCGCAATGCTGGCAACTGGAGGTAATGGTCTCCATCACCAAGATTTGCCCTCACGCCAAAGTGCCCGTCCACCATCTGCAGGGAGAAACACAGGTCTGCTGTAAATGTGCAACAGCTGCTGTCATTAGGCACTGAAAGAGACTGTAGACATGGAACAGAGCCCTATCTTATTCAAGTGTCTACTTCTGGAGAAACTTAAAATTGTCCAGTTGTCCCATGATATTTCCATATCCACATATAGACATCAACAGATATCAGTCCATCTGTGATTCTCAAGATCAGACAATATACCTGTCTTGATCCTGAAAATCCGTCTCCTCTCCCTTTTGTGCTTAGTACTGTGTTGAAAAAAAGTGTTCCATGACAAGGCTGCTGACATAACGTCAATTCTCTGTTAATTAAGTTCATTTATAATTTGTACAATTTGTATGCAATGTATCTGTGTTTAAATTATTTATCCTATTCTGCTTCATGTAGATCTCATGGAGTGACAAAAGTTGGAGTAGGGCTATGGCTTGGCAGTTCACTTTAGTTATGCATATATGCATACAATGGCCAGTGTTTTTGGTGGGAATAGTATGTTCTCTTTTCTCTTTTGTGTCTGCTACCCTTGTCTTTTAAGGTCTTCCTGCCTCCTGAGTACAAACAGCACTACTGTCACAATCCATCATAATTAGTCACTCAACCGTCCTAAATGCCACAGCATTCCCACGACTTCAGTTAATCAGAAACCTGCCCGATCTAATTCTTGGAAACAACAGCACACACCTCTTGTCTTTCACTGTACCTGTTATTTATACTATCCTCAAACCACACTTCATTGCTGGGAATTAAATAGCCTGCTGTTCTCCTTGCTCATCTCCAATTTCAAAACTCTTCTAAAGATTTCTTCTTGCCTCAGTCTTTTGGTTACTGATTCTCAGCCTGCTTCACTGACACCGTTCTTGCCTTTCCCTTTGGATTGACGAAAGCTCTCTCTGCCTTCCTGGAAACCGACTCTCAGCCTGCCTCTCCAACACCGACCTTGCCTAGCCCAATTGTTTTGTTTTGTGACCCGCATAGGGTTCTCTGGATCGTTTAGTGACAACTACAATACAGCACTACTGTTCTCCTGAGTGCTTATTGAAAGTGCAGAGGCAGTGTGCAAATAAGGTCCTGGTATTTTTTTTTATCAAATGAAAGCTAAGATGGAATGAACCGAAAGTGGTGCCCTGTTGGAAGCTTTTTTTTGTAATGTTCACGGCAGTCAAAGGAATGTACAACAGGAAAAGAGCACCCCTTGGGGTATTCTTTTCTTTTCCTTTTTTTTTAAGAACTTGAGACATTAAGGCGTTTATGCTTATGATGATAGAGATCATCATTCACAAGCAATTTTTCTGTAAACAACATTGCCCTGATTTCTGGGGGTGTGTGTAAAAGCGAAGACAAACACAGGTGCTCCCTTACCTCCATAACGATGTATTCATTGGAGTCCCTTGAGGTCATGCTTAGCAGAGTTCCAGAGGGGGTACGTGTGCGCAGGAGCAGCTGGGCATGTGTTCTGCGAGCACTGCCACCCCCCCGTAATTGGTATCGGAGTACGCTATCCTTCTCAAAAGACCATTCTGGAAGGGCTGCAACAACAGAGAAGCAGTGACAACTTTTGTTGACTCAGGCCTGCACCACTCTCAAGTTCCCTCTGGCACAGTAGGGCTTAGCAAAGACCTCCAAATGTACACTATCAGGTACAGCTACCTGAGACACTAGATAAAACCCCCTTTCTCAGCCAAAGGACTAATACAGTAAAACCAACATACAGAGAAGTAAGAAGATTAGTCCAATTTTGGAAGCTTTCAGCTCTTTCAGTTCTTTTATAAAGCTTGCACTACTTTCTTGAACATGATTGTACACAGGTCTCAGTGCTCCTCTGTGGTACTAAAATAGAAAAAAATAAACAGATTTATGTTATGAAATTAAATGTTAACCTTTATAGCTGAAAAAAAAACAACAACTAATTTTAAAATACATTATGAGATGTCCAGATTTTATATTGAGCAAGTGGTGTGAATTCTGAAAAAAACATTAAACGTCTTCCTTTTATGTACAATAACTAAAAATAGTAACTTTCACAGATTGATAAGGATTTTAAACACTTCACAGACATCCTTTTTGAAGTTGTACTCCAAGGAGACCAATGAAGAACAGTAGGTTTAAAGAGAAAGAGAGATGACTTTATTCGCCATATATAATTTCTTGTATTAGAAATTTGTCTTTTTTTTTCCTAAAAACACAGACAGGGAGAGAAGCATGGGGTCAGAGTGCAGGGTCAGCCATTTATATGGTGCCCCTGGAGCAGGTGGGGTTAAGGGCCTTGCTCAGGGGCCCTCTGCCGGGCCACTGGACAAACCGGCAACCTTCCAGTCACGGGCGCAAATCCTTAGCCACAGAGCCACCACATCGGCCTATATTACAGTATTAGTGTAATAGAATTGTTCTTCAAGACCACGGCCTGATGATATGAAAATGTACTGCAAGTCAAGATACAACATAGAAGGTCAGAGCTTTTCAACAATGTGGGAACTGTCCAATGAACCCTGTGAGTAGCCACTGTCTCATAGTAATTGACATTTCTTCACAGGGACAAAGACAGTTCCTGTTTCTCAGTAACAAGAGGACTTCGATCTGAAGAGGACTGCTTCTGTGTTACCTTTGTCACACTTGTGTCCGCTGTAGCCTGGGTGACAGTCACAGCTAAATGACCCCCACTCCCCCCGGCACTTCCCATGGATGCCACAGGAAGGTCCCCCAGCAGTCAGACACACTCCATCTGTTAGAGCACAGCCAGGGGCACTGTTTAGGCTCTCTGCAGGACACCCCAGGTCATATACCTGTCAGGAAGGACAGAAAACAAGTAGCTGACGATGGGAACCGTGCACAAAGTGACCACCTAGACATCCCTCTTGCCCAGCTGGATTACATTCAGATGTGCAAGTGTAAGATCTCTTGGTTCCACATTATTCAAATTAGTTCTTATGCAACTATGTACACAATCATTGAGGTTTTACATGCCACTGGAACAACATTTATAGACATTTATGCATATTATCCCCAAACAAATAACAGATATATGCATATTTGTAATAACAGGTAGCATTTTTCACAGCAGAGATTATGACATGTACAGATGCAGCCATTCAAAATGAGCGGGGTACGCTGCGGTACAACGTGGTGGGTGTGTCGCATCCAAGCATTCTTTGTAATCGTCTTTGTAAACGAAAACACTTTATTTTTTCATTGACAAAAAGTAACACCACAGCATTTCGTTGATCGGATCACATATTTGTTTCCAATCATACAAGGTAAGTTCTGAGAATCTCCGATTCACTATGCCTTTCACATGCTCTTAAACTCATAGCACTTTACACTTAGTTTAAACAACTGAGTGAAATAGGTTTAATACAGGTGGGTAGCCGCGTACGGCATGTGTAGGCTGCAAAGGAACAAGTAATAGGTGTATTCCATGCTGAAAAGAGAAGAAAGAAAACACAACGTTTTGGCCGTTTCTGCTTCCTGTGGTGATATGCGGGTTTTTTGCACAAAGCTGTATTGAGCAGTATTTCTCGCATTGTGAACGTGTGTACACAGCGGTCCCTCCTGGGTTCCAGTTAGTGCGTAATTATGCATCGATGAAAAACCGGAGGTTTAAAAAAAGAGAATTAGTTCACTGATAGTTTTTTGTGGAGGCTGTGAAAATTTTCACAAGTCGTGGTCTTTAAAATGCATTTGGTTTGAAGGCTTTCTGTGTTTCCCTTCCAAAGATATGTACAGAAGAATATTTGAGCGTGGTCCAAAAAATGTCTTGAAAACGACATAGTAAAGGCTGTGAAAACAATTACAATGTACACAGCAAGTGTTTTCATAACTCTAAGCGGTTACATGAAAAAGCTACAGGTGTGCCAACTGTAATCGTTTTTATTTTTAAATATATTTTAGAAAAGTGTCATCTATACAAAAAAGTTGCATTTAATACCACTCGATAGTCATTAATAGAGATAAGCTCTCTATTAAAGCTCAGATCAAAGATCAAGCACAGATCAAACAGCAATATTTCACACACTGGGACTGATCTGTGATCTGTGATGTGGTTGAGTGTGAATTGTGGTGCTCTAGCAGGCACAGTTGGCTGGCTATGCCAAAAAATAAATAAAAAACGGTTTAACAACTCTTAAGCTTACTGTAGTTTTTGTTAACACAAGCTTATCAGTGAAAAGACCAAGGGCATTCTCAGG